TAGATTTAGACTAGATCTAAGGAAGAAATTTTTTACGCTGAGGGTGGTGAAACACTGGCACAGGTTGCCCAGAGAGGTGGTGGATGCCCCATCCCTGGAAACATTCAAGGTCAGGTTGGACAGAGCTCTGAGCATCCTGATCTAGTTGAAGATGTCCCTGCCCACAGCAGGGGGTTTGGACTAGATGACCTTTAGAGGTCCCTTCCAACCCAAACTATTCTATGATTCTAAAACAAGACACAAAATGGAGCATATGAACAAGGTCTAACTCTGAGTGTGGAAACTGTTCAGACAATTATATTTTGGCACCTGGAGAAGCTCACTGAGGAAAAAATGAGCAGCTTTTATGTGTACTGTCACAATACAGTTTGCTAAGTCACTGACAGACTTTCTTACATAGATAATAGTCCCGTAGGGATACACTGCCCTAAAGAGTAACTTCAGGAGGTTTGTCACAGTGATATATTTACTTCCAGACATGTACAGCACTCACCTTCCCTCCATCAGCATTATACTCCTTCTCATCCCCTTCCAAAAGTCTGGCCAAGCCGAAGTCAGTGATCTTCACATGGTTTGGTGATTTCACCAAGACATTACGGGCTGCCAAGTCCCGGTGGACAAGTCTCCTCTCTTCTAGGTACATCATTCCCTGAAGGACAAAGAACAGTAAAATAATCTTAATGAGTCTTACATGATTTTTTCGAACTAGTTTTAACTGGTGACATGTAAAATTTCTAGTTCTCTTATTAGTATTCGCAATAAGAACATGGCCTAGAGGGCAGAAGTTCAACACTGCCCTTGCTCTAAGCAGAAGGTGGGATTAGATGACCTTAGGTTCCTTCCAATGTGAACGATTCTATAAGATTGTATGGTAACTGCCAAAGGAAAAAAAAAAACAACAAAAAACCACATAGATATCTCCTTTGCTCCAGCAAGTTTAAAATCTGGAAATGTGAGACAAATAAAAGAAATAGTATGGCCCTTATTTTTCAGACGGGAAATCTGAAGACCATAAAAAATAATCAACCTAGCCAGAGCCCCACAGAAATTAGGCCAGACTGGGAAACAATCCCAGCTCTTCTACGTTCCAGGCAAGTGTCCTCAATTCAAGATGAAGCTTCTTATCCATCTCCAAATGCTTTTAAGTTGGACACAAATTTTCACTACCCTCAGTGGATTAGAAGGAAAACAATTCTTTATTCCAAGTGCTGCAACCCCCTTGCCTTTTCACTTCCTTAAAATTTTGCATGTAGTATTATAATATGACACTAGATCAATGGCCATTTTTTTAATGAGCATATATATTCTGTTAGAAGTACTTTTGTTAACAAGCCCATCCAGCTGCCTTTAAAGACAAGGTAACATATACTCAAGCTGCCTGGCCTTAACCTTATTCTTACTCTGATGAGAGACTAACCATCTACCATCAGTATGGAAGTTTACATGATGCTTTGTGACACTGAGATGAACACCAAAGCTTGGTCTTATTAATTACATGACGCACAAAGGATAGTCAGGCAGGGTTACAAGGCTATAATTTCATTATAAGGCATTTATGACATTAACCATCATTATAAGAACCTACAGATGAAATTACACACTTGATAATTACCCTTAAGGTATCTCTTAATATATTAGCTCTGTATAATATATTTGGTAATTTTTAAAAAGTCATTGTTGAATACCGAAGAGATAATATTATCCCATAATACAGATGATAATTCAGAGAGTCACAGGTGATTAAAATAACCAGGTTACTCAGTGTTATGGGCCAGATTTTATTCCCTTTCACAGCATAAGAAGCTCACACATACCTATCCCCATACATACCAGGAGGACAATGCGTATGGGTAAGCCACCCCTCATGGTCACTGGGTCAGAATGTAGCCCTTTCTTGACAGAAAGTGGATGTCTTTACAAAAAGCAGCAAGTGGAGCTCTGAACTGCTGTGGCTTTTAGGTGAAAAATTTCAGTGCAAACACCACTAAAAGGTTTGAAAATATGTGGGAAAACATTTGGCATAAACACTATTTCATTTTTAATGTGGTAAGCTTTGCTGCAGTCAACATGAATGTGGTTTGAAAGGGGACACAGAGACTCTGGCATAAAGCAAATAGAATTAATTTTTAAAAGCACTGCTAGTTGAAGCAAACACACCCTCCTGCCAATTGCAAATCAATACTTTTGGCTGTTGAACATCAGAACTGTAAGTCTTTGAAAGCATAATGTTTTTTGACACCAAATTAAAACCTGTAGAAAAAGGACAAATAAATCTCATAGGTCCAACAACCGTGAGTCACACAATAAACACACCATGAAACCAGAGGCACCATGACTTAGCACAAGAATTACCAACTGAAGAAATCCAACCAAAAAAAAAACACCCCAGCCAATAGCAACGACATTGTGTAATAGAGGAAAAACAATCACAAAAGTGGCCCTGTAAAATTCAGACAGATTGGGAATTCATATAAATCCTGTTTCACATCTCTAACACTGAACAGTAACCAGAAAGCACTTCAAGGCAGTGTCAACACTGCTCATACCAAGTACTCTGGGAAGTAGGTGGACTACAGCAACCTCCCAGTCTTATGTCTATCCCTCTCACCCGAGAGTCTTGCAGCCAGTCTGATGAGATGTCCACAGGCAGGTGTCAACCAACGTGGCTGGACGTCCCTCAGTAAGCCACTGAGAGAGCACCATGCCCGTGCTGTGTTGGGCTGAACAGTGCATGCAGGCATGCAGGGCTCTGCATGCTTTGTGGAGCAGCCTCTGGCCCACAATCACACGTCCAGCTTTGCTGCTCTTGCAGACAGTGAATCTAATCTTAAGGGTGACTTCAGGGTGCCCTTAAATAAACCGCATAGTCATTCCTCACACATCTAAAATTATTCTGGTCCTTTGCAGTTCCCAAAAGTGCTGGCCTTGAAGCCAGGATTGCAGTCATGTGCAAACAGACAGGCGCCCCTTGTGCTTCCCCGAAACACTTCTCTCCTGCAGCTCACAATCTCTTTCTCCAGCTTCCAAGGGATTAAGCACCTCTCTTCAGTCTTGCAACTTTCACTGCAAAAGAGCTCCTCCCTGAACAAAAAGTCTCAAGGTGCTGCTTTCACTTCCTTTCTACTTAGTTTAGGAAATACCTCAAATTTTTAGAATGAACAGAAATAGTTCTAAAACTTCATAGATTTGACATAACTTCCAATATCCTTATTTGGTCAAAACTCTCAATACCTCAGAATAAGGGGGGAGAAAAGAAAGGCCCAAACCTGCAAACAGGTCTTTGTGGGCAGAATCTGATGAGGACACAAGAACCCCGAGAATTTGATGAGATAATTCTGTTGGTATCAGAATACATTAGGCCCAAATAAAATTGCCATTTGTAATAGATTAAGTTGCACCTATCAGCACTGAAATGCTATGAAGATATTGCAGATTTCTTTTGGCAGAAATGAAGAAATAGAATTTCTGTCTTGTTAAAATCAAAACAGACGACCTGTACCAAGGCTTTAGCCTCCTGTCTTTAGCTAATGATGGCAGGAATGGATGGTAAGGTGTCCAGAAACATCTTTCATTGAAAGAGTTAAACAATCAAACCCTTAACCATGCCTCCTAGGTCTTATTTTACCTTCTCTACATATGTAATTTCCAAGCATTTTTTAAACATGTAGGCTAACACTTTAGGATGTTTCTCTGTTTATTCTACTCATTCATTTCCATTTATTTCAATCTTGTGCTATTATTTAATATCGTCTTAGCAAGATTATATTTTATTCAACCTAACCTCATACTCTCTTATGAACTAGAAAGATGTCTAATCACCAACCTGAATATTGCTCCTAATGAATACCGCACCTGGTTTTCTTTTCTGTCCAGAAAGTGGGTAGAAATAGTTGTCTGTGTATCATTGTACTTACAATTTACTTCACCTCTGTCAAACAAGATTCTCAGGGCTTTTTCCCACCTGTGTTATCTGCAAAGCTAAAAACAACCCATGTAGGGTTGACAGCTACAAAATCCTCTGCAGGTCCATGACCTCCAGAAATGTAAATCCTCTTAGGAATACCCAGTGTAAACATGTTCGATTTTCCTGATATCCTATCAACACATTTTAAAGGTAAATGGTGGAAGTATAAGAGAAAAGGTATACATATGTATATGTTTTCAATAAATGAGATTATACAAGCAGAATGAAAACTATCTAAAAATGAGAATCCTACAGTATTCACTGCAGCAATACTGTCTAGACATATACTATGCCAAGAATCATCATCTGAAGGCATTTTCGAACCTGGCAGGAAAAGTGTTCTATATGTATCTCTAATCTTTTTACATGAGGCAGAAGTACGGTAACAAAAAATACTCTCTGCATTATACAGCTGGTGCCACCACCACCCAACAAGCCCATGATCAAATACCAAGAGGATATTTTATGAGAGTTACAAGACAAAACTACAAGTGACCCTAGACCCCGACAATGGAAAGGGATCTGTTTGTAAAAATGACACTTTAAAGCCTGATCCAAAAGACACTATGCTGTGCCATTTGAGATGTGATCTGTGAGGCTGGGGAAATGAAGAGCACTTCAGGACTTGTCCAACTTAGAGCTATGCAGATCCCATATAATTATCAAAGCATAAAATGTCCACATAATAAGAAACCCCACACTTTAGTATATGCATTAGAATATCCACAATAGGGTGGGACTTTAATACTGAAACCACTGAGAGGAAAAAGTTCAACATTAAGGCATTAAGGATCAGTTGTCCCATTATCTCTGAGCCCAGATTCATCTCACACAAACACAAGAATCAGCCATGACCTGATACTTCCCATCACAGTCATGGCAGAGGTTTCCTCACAGATAATGTCATTAGAAATGCAATTACTGCTAGGATCCCTTAACATAAAATCACTCTCTGAATCAGCACCTAATGCTATTAAGAAGTCAAACAGCTACTGCAAACAGCTATAACACAGATAAGTTGAGGAAGTCCCTTTGGAACTTCAGGATGAGCTAGGAATAGCCTTTTATCTTTCATAACTGTGCCCCTTATCCTCACCCATTACCAGAGTCACGTACGAAGACAAACGTGTGCTATATGGATCTTAGACATACATAGCAGTAAAACCGCCTGCAGCCTAGATGCCTTCTACCTGTGTGATTATGCAACTGTGAAAATGTAAATTCTCCTTTCAGAAGCAGACACAAATGCCCTTGCCAGGACTTTGATAAGTGTTAAAGATCTTTTATCCTTGCCTACACAATTACTAACCTGACCTGCCCATGTGTTTATAGATTTCACACAAGGCTTGCAACAGCACCAGGGAAACTAATAGCAATGCTGAGTGGTAGAAGAATAGGCTTGTAATAAGCCAAGACAGCTTTGTTCAAAGAAGGGAGGTGGACAGGAAAGATGTAAATGGCCACTAGGAGCTTAACTCCAGTAAGAATTTCCTACCTGTCACTTTTCAGCCTTGATAATTTTTTATGTAATAACTAGGGGGGATAAAAATCAGCAGTTTTACCAGCTGAGGTGAATTCTGCTCTCTACCCATCAGTTTACTCTCGGAGCTGGCTAGAAATAACAGAGAACAAAAATTATCTTGTTCAATAGACTGGAAGTTAGTCATTAAGGATATAAAAGAAGA